GAGAGAGAGAGAGAGAGAGAGAGAGAGAGAGAGAGAGGAGTGTCATTACCTTGGTCTTGCACTTGACTTTTGGAGGTTCATGCGGATAAATATGGGAAACTTGGAAAGAAAATAGAAATGCACCCCCTCTGAAACAGTAGAAGATATGTCAAACTAACCAATGCCAAGGTTATTACTAACGAAATTGTACAAGTTAATAAGCCCGATACACATTTTCTGGGCAGTCAATATTAAATACAGTCGAATAAACTTCATCAAAATAAAAGGAACTGCGAATGATTGGTAACTTACAAGTAATATCCTTCATCTGGTCGAATAGTGATTTCAAAGTTCATCAGGTCATCCTTGCCATTAGGGAAAGAGATAATACATGTCGCAGGTAAGTTCAGCTCACTAATGTCTACAAAATTGAATTTTGAAGATTAAACTCTTGATTAACATTACAAACAATAGCCAACAGAAATCAGAAAATGTTTCTTGAACACCTATAACACATCTGGAGGCATATCTAGACAGAAGATGAAAACTTCCAGATGAACAGTTAAGAAATTCTCTTACCCTTGATTTATACACCTAGAACTTGTAAATATGCAGCCTTAAAATGTACATTAAAAATCAGACTGTAATTATCATGTTGTGTTCACGTGCTTAACATGCTCAATCATTGTATATCCTGGTTCGCGCCAAGAGGTACTTAACAAAAAAACAATGTGTTCAACCAAAAATGTTACATAACTCGTTTTGTCTGCTCCTCACACTATCTCATTCCATGTTGCAAGATGAGATGACTCAATGGTCTAGGGATACCTAAGATATACCAGAAGACGTGAAATTACCTACAAAGAACATAGGATAATAACTACATGATAATCACAAATGCGCACATTTTCTCCATGCTTAAATTTAAATATCAACAGCCAAGCAAAACTTTATGCTCCTTTAATCAGAAGAGATCAATAGTAAAAGATGACCATAGCATTTCCAATTGATATCTATACGAGTTGTACTAGACTCCGTATTTCACACAATAGAAGACTTACGTATTTAACAGTATGCATAGATGTCCAAAAGAAAGTGGTGCAGCTACTAATCACCAGATTAGTCTGACATCTGTGATCCCCAAAATTGCTAGTATCCATTCCAGATGTCTCCAAATTCCAGATAGATGAACATTTTACAAATCCAGAGGTTAAAATCTCCAAATATTGTAGCCCAAATCATCAGCCCCAAATACACAACAAAGTATATTGCAGCAGTCCAAATTTCAAAATCCAATTTCCCACATTCCTACACCCACCCTTTAAAACTAAGTCCAATCTAATTCAGCTATATCAATGATTCAAAAATATGATTTCATTATGTAGTAACAAGGCATGAAATATCTTGGTCCCCTAGGTGAACTTTGCACTTCATCATTTGGTCTATCCCCCATAGTAGTAGTCCTTTGAAAATGAAATACAGGTTTCTAAGTGCAATTCATTACTCAAAATCCACTTTAATTAGTGAATCATTTAGTTTAGAGGTATTTGAAATTTTTCAATGACTCCTCGTACATGTGCTTGCTGCGTGTCAGCTTACTAAGTTATTACACTTGGAACTTATCCGAAAGCCTGATGATAGTACCCTCTCAAGAAGTTGACAATCCAAAAAGTAGCTACAGTAATGAATCAGAAGAAAAATCGATTTAAAAAGGAACAATTCCCTGAAATGTTTGTAGCGAACCTTTATGAAGACGTAACTCCCCAGCACTTTGCTTCTTCACATGGCCCTTTTCATTGGCATTCTCATTGAGTTCCTTTTGCTTCTCCTTTACTTTGAATAACTTAATCATGGTTCCTAGAATTAAAAAGTGATTAAGCATAATAACATGTTAGTAGTGGGTGATAACATTAAGAATACAGCAGAACCCTTTTACTGGAGAAAAGAAAAATGAAAACAAATATACCCAAAGGCTAATGAAAAAATAAATAAATAAAATAAAATGACTTAGTGAGTAGTCAGTTTAAGTCAGGCAGGAGGATGATATGATTAAGAAACACAAGATGCAGGCATCAAGTCAAGATTAACAGCCCTGCAACTTAGCTGCAGACTTGATCATTAGATAAGTTGCGAGAGAAGAAATGCTGCAAACCATCAATTCCAATGACACTCCCTCCACAATTTAGTTTGTTTAAAAGCTTCGGACATTGTTTCCAACACAATCAGGTGCTTGTTCATTCTCCTCCAACCCACCAATCCCTAAACTCTAAGCCTTGAAAATAAAAATAATATGAAAGGAAAAGGCATCACAGAGAAGTGAGAAGAGTTTGTCAACATTCAAATGTCTACACTCGTCTCATCAGTTTTTTAATCTGGATTTTTATCAAAATCTTCCACAGTTAAGTCCAATAATTCTACCCGATGGGATACCAAATAAAAAAGTAATTGTGATAAATACTTCAATCCTTTTCCATGGCTTCATAGGTTATTATAATAGGGAACTAAGAAAACCAATTAAATCATTTACTAGATATATTTGCCAATATCGTTCACCCTACGGTCGCAGACATCACGGAAGAATTATGTGATTATTCCACTACATTAAAAACCCTGCAGGAAAAATTGATGTTAACGCTGTAATCCAATTCTATATACTGATAGCCCACTGTCCATGAAGCACGCCTATCTCTTTGCAACTGATCATTTCATATAACTCTATTCCCTCTACTTAACCAAACAGGTAGAAAAAATTATCATAAGACTCAAAACAACTAAGCTTTCGAACTTCTTAATTACTCTCAATGCATTCCACATATTCGAAGTTGTTACAGCGGCCCTGAGTATAGACGAAGTAGCCGATCGCCTAAGGCTCCACTTTGATGAGGGCTCCAAATTATGTAAAGTTAATTAGTTGGTTGAAGAAAAATGAAAATGATATTTATGAAATTCTGAAAATAAAATTATCGTATGCAAACATAAGAAACTAATAAAAATTGAAAATATAAAAATCTTTAAATATATGTGGCAACAAATTTATCACTTACATTTATTTATCACAAACATTACTTTACCTATTTATAATTAAGTTGACATTTTACCTTCTAAACATTCATTTTCTTTTTTTAACCAAACAAAAGGTCTTTTTGTCTTTTCAAGTTTCATGTCCAACAATCACCCATCATTATTTTTTCAACCCAACAAGATATAAATTATTTTACTTTGAATTAAAATTTTGAAGATTCAATGCAATTTGGTTTGATCTCGCTGCTATTGTTACAGCTCTATAAGTTTCTTTCTTTCTCTTTTATCTTCAAAACATATACTACAGAATATATAGATTGTTATTACGTTGTTTTGTTTTAATCTTATGATAATAATATTTTTATATATTTGCTGAAAGTATTTTGAATTTAATAATTCTTTATTCTTGTTCATCCAGATACTTCTTATTTTAATTTAATTTTTTATAAATTAATATAAAATTAGAAGCTCATTTATATTTGATTATCATTTTCATTATTTTGTTACATTAACTTTTACAGTCACATTCTCCAATTTTGTACATCAATCACTCAAATGTATATTCAATTTTATTTGAAGTAGTTGTGGTGAGGAAATAATCATACAAATGAGCATACTCCTTTGTCATTGCTTTGTAATTCTGTTTGTCAAACTTTACTTGTAATTTGTATTGCTGGTTGAAATTTGACAATTTTGTTTATTTTCTTTTCAAATTTTGGGGCCTAGTTGTCTGTGTTAAATTTTTTATAATTATATTAAACCCCTATTTGGTATCAATTAAAATCTAGATTTTAATCTAAGTCAAAATTGACAATTAATTTTAACCAAATATTTTATGGGTTTCAAAACTTTAAATCCACATATTCTATCTACTTCTATTAAAATATACTAAAAAAATTGATTTTAAGGATTGTTTGAACCCCATTTTTATCAAAAAAATGCATTTTGAAATAATGTTACGGTAGAGAATGTGTGATTAAAAAATAAGGAAAAGTTTTGAGTTTGTGTATAATATTATTTTATTAAGAAATATATGGTTGAAATATTATCAAATCATTGTTGAATAATGTATTTTGATGAAAAATGGGATTCAAAAAAGGGCTTAATCTCCATCAAACAAGCTAAAATTCTATATAATTAAAGTCAAAATATAGCCCCAATTTGAAATTGGCATAAGGCCCAAAATATGCTCTGAACTGTTAAAGAGACTAAACAGTAATCCTAGCATCGAGACTCCGTAAAATAATGTGGATACCAAAACTCTCTTGGCAATCAGGATTCATAAAATTAATTTGGCAACAATCGTCTTCGCAAGGGACTAGAATCCCTGTCCAAAAAGCCCAAAGAGGATCCATAAAAATTAGGATGAAACTAATCGTATCCCCAACTCTAAGAAACAATCAAAGCAAAGCACAATTGCAGAGCGGATTACGTGCATAACTAATTCATACTCTAAGAAACCCATATCATAATTCAGTCAATTCAATAATGAGATAGAACAGCAACTTTACAAGAACAAGAAATCATATATTATAAAAACCAATAAAAGTGCAGATAAAGAGAGAGAGAGAGAGAGAGAAAAAAAAAAGGAGGAATTATAACGACCGTATCAATCAAGCGAATAAAACCTTGCCCATATTGCAAAACTAAAAAAATTATATTTGAATAAATGGCATAGAATACGAAAGAAATGTGCAGATTTCAAGATTGATGAATGTTCCATGTAAGAAAACGTGTATTTTCAGAATAACGACTATATGGATGAAGTAAAGAGAATTGAAAAGCTGCAAAAAAGAGCTTACCTGTTGAGGAGACGAAAGAAGCAAACGGTTCAAGAAAGGGGATCGAAGAGATCAAAATAGGTAATCTTGAATTGAAATGTTGGGCTTCTTAAAAGTGTCAAGACAATCAATCGCGACACGGGAGTTCCGACTCCTGCTCCATTGGACACGTGGCGTTCGCTAGTTTAAATTGACAACACGTTGGTCCCACTTTCGTGTTTGGAACACGTCGGTCGTGTTTCGCCGTCGTAAAAGTCGTGCAATTATCATATCGTGTATTTTTGAACTTGTAAGAGGACCTCCAATAATACCCTAAATTAGATCTAGCTCCCGTTTGAAATGGAATTAAAGTATAATAGGGGTGTTTATAATTGAGATTGTGATGAATTTTAAAAATCTTTCTAAATTTAGGTATTTTTAATTAAAATTTTATTGAATTTCATTAAAATTCAGGTATCCACAATTAAAATTTTAATAAAATTCAATGATTTCCTTTAAAATTTAGATATCTTCAATAAATAGTTGATTTATAAATATTTCATTAAATAGAAGGATTTTAAAAAGACTTTGATGGATTTTAAGCTTAAAAATACATATAATCAAATTTTTTGAAATTTCATCATATTTGACGAAATTCTAATGGAATTTATGGGAATCTATTCAAATTACAAAATTCGTTACGATTTATAATTTTTTAAAATTCATTAAAATCTTAATTAAGAACACCTTCGTAAGTTAAAATCAACAATTAATCTTAATCACATATTTTATGGATCCCACAACTTTTCAACCACGCATTTCATTAACTTTTATTAAAATTTATTAAAAATATAATTTTTATTCCCACCAAACTAGTGCCTAAATTGTGATTTAATATCTAAAGTGGTCGAAAACATCATTAGTGGAGAAATGCAACTGAAATATAAAGTGTATTTTTTGGATGGAAAACATAAGAAATATATAAAAATTTGCCTTATTTTAAGATCTATCCATGAGACTAAGAGACAAAAAACTATCAACTCACTTATATCCATTTTTTTTTTTAGATTTTTTCGTCAGAACATAATTTGAATTTAGACTCATCGAGATGTAGACGATGATGTAAAAATGACTTTAAATATATCAATTTATACTTAAACTTACACCATCTTTGGAGATGTTTTGAAATCTAAATTAATTTAAAGAAAATTGGAAAATAAAAGTCCGTGGGAAGTTATTTATTAATTTTTCCTATTGCGCTTCAATCAGACTATCGTCTGTACAAATCAAATAAAACCAATAAAATAATTTTAGAAGAAATAGAAATGAGCATACAAGATCTATTTCCCACCATTCAAGGGCGGATCTGGGGGTAGCTGCACTGGGCTAAGGCTTGGCCCAGATACCATTTTTTTTTTTTTTTTGTGTGTGTGTGTAAATTTTCTAGAAAAAAAATTATAGCTCGGTCCAAATTTAAAATTAGCCCACTATGTACCCACCAACTTAAATGGATCAACATTTAATCCAATTTTTATTACTAGCCCACACACCAAACGTTAAACCCATTCCATTCCAATCCAAAGTCCAAACCCACCTAATCGTTCATTCAAGGCCCGTTTGATTTTCATTTTTATCAAAATACATTTTTCTCTCTCTTTTTTTTAACCACACATTTTTTATTAAAATAATATTACACGTAAATCAAAAACTTTTATTTATTTTTCATCCACACATTTTCCATCAATCTATTATTCTAAAATTCATCTTTTCCAAAAAAATGGGTACCAAACACCCTCACATACCTCTCAATTCTCATTTTTCCGGGTTAATTATATGAATGGTCACTAAACTTTGCCCTATGTTACTACATAGTCATTGAACTTAAAAACGTAACTCAATGATCACTGAATTTCGCCAAGTGTTACTACTTCATAACCGAACTTTAAAATGTATCTCAATAATTATCAAACTTTGCACCGTATTACCAATCCGTCACTTAAATGGAAAAATCCGTTAAATCCAACTATTAAGATATATTTTTAAATTGAATTATTAAGCCATTATTTGAGTCTCATTATTTCAAAAAAAAAAGACATTCTTAAACAGTGATTTAACATAATTAAACCGCACATTCTTCAATAAAATAATATTATAAGTAATTCCAAAATTTTTTCTTATTTTTTAACTACATATTTCTCATCAATATACTATTCAAAAATTCATTTTATCCCTCAAAATGGGATCCTCTATGAAAGAAGAAATCAAAGAAAATGAAGGAAAAAAGAGGAAACATAAAATCAGAGACCTATAAATTAAATAAAAATAGAATTGTTGCTAATATTCATCCATCAAGGTGAAAAAGTACGTTTGATTTTTAGATCAACTGATATCAGTTCACCATATCTCAAACTCCGCATAAATAGATTGAAAGAGTAGTTGGAACACTTAGAGAAATTGACAAAGAAAAATTAAATAAAAGTACAAAAATTTTCGAATACTGCCAATGTAACTGAGGTCGATTTGATTTTTTAACTATGTTACTACTTAGTCACTAAACTTAAAAACGTAACTCAATGGTCACTGAATTTCGTCAAGTGTTACTATTTCATAATTGAACTTTAAAATGTATCTCAATGGTCATCGAACTCTGCACCGTGTTACCCATTCGTCACTGAAGTTGAAGCCGTTTATTGGACTTAACGGAATTTTACATTTAAATGATGGATGGATAACACGGTGCAGAGTTCGATGATCATTGAGATACATTTTAAAGTTTGATTATGAAGTAGTAACACTTGACGAAATTCAGTGACCATTGAGTTACGTTTTTAAATTCAGTGACTAAGTAGTAACATAGGGCAAAATCAGTGACCATTCATATAATTAACCCCATTTTTCCCATTGATCCTGGAAACGCCCAAGCCTTTGCAAGCCAAAAAATAGTACTGGCAAGTGTGGCAACCACGTTCTGATGTTCACAGTTCACACTCCGTTTCTTCGTCGTCCCCCGCACGGTCTGCAATACATATTTTTTAGGTATCGACGTATTGTGATTTTATGCACAATTTACAGAGACGTGTGCATCTCTTCCTTAAGGTGTTTGTTGAAATGACACATCATTCTCTTATTGCTTTTACGCATTATTGTTTTCGTTATTTAGTTTGAGATTGAGATTCATATCTAATGGGTTAGCCAGTTAGGTTATTTATGGTATCAATTATGATTAGGTTTTTTTTTTATGGTTTAGGATCGAAGGCCGATGTCTGTGATCTGAAATTGAAATACAAAAATTGTAAAACAGGAACTCAGAATGGAGCCAATGGACTATGGAGGCTGGTAGTGATTATATACAATATCTTGGAGTGTAGTTAGTGCCATTACATATGACTTAGTGCTTTATTAACCGTGGAAGAAAATTGCTTTTCTGACTACGTTTCATCTCAAACCAACAACATTTTGATTTGTGAGCACAAATAAGATCAAACACACACAATCACATTAATCTCTCTCTCTGTGGTCTCTGCCCAAGGGAAGTATTCTTCATGTCTTCAACCAACTTCCTAATTTGAGTTATAACTTACAGAAAATCAGCCCTCAATTCAATTTCAGAAGAAGCAACTACACTTGGAATAAATTTCTTTAACGCCTCAGGCCCAAGTGTTTGGCAACGAGATCCTGTCTCGAGTTGAGATGATAAGTCAGGCTCACTTGGTGGGGCTCTGAAGTTAGCAGCAGGATGGGGTTCTGAAGTTAGCTCTCCACAAGCATCGCTACATGAAATTTATGTTGTATACTTTATAAAAATTTGTGCATATATATTTTTAAATTTCAGTCCCCCCAATACGATTTTCTGGATTCGCCCCAGTCAGCATTATCACTCCACGGCACAAAAGCACTAAAAATATACAAAGGGGTCACACTAACTCTAAATTATAGAATCAATACGACAATATGTAGTCAAAATATATAATATTCACGTATAGTCGTCTCCTAATCTTTCAAAACCTTTTTTTAATATATACCGAATCATACATTCACACAATAAAATACTCTACACGTAAATCCAAAGTTTTTTTTAATTATTTTAACCATCAATTCTTCAAAAAAATCTCTATTAAAAACAATTTTNAATACTCTACACGTAAATCCAAAGTTTTTTTTAATTATTTTAACCATCAATTCTTCAAAAAAATCTCTATTAAAAACAATTTTCCCCTCAAAAAATGACCACCAAATAGGGGCTAAATTAAATCTTAATGTTAAATTTTATATTTTCCTTGTGTGATAAAGAATTTTGAGAATTGGTTCTTTGAAAAGTGTTTTTCAATAAGTGGTTAAAAAGTATGAAAAAATTATGAGAAAACGTGAAAAATGACCTTACTAAAAACTCCATAAATAAATTTAGAGTTTTGCAACAAAAATAGGGCATTGTCCTCCCAGGAAAAACAGGGCCTACGTGGCTCTCTTTGAGAATAATTGTTCATAAATTTAGTGCTCATTCCTCGTCTTCTCTCTCATAAATAAAGTAAATAATCCTAAAATTGGCATAGAACACTTTTAGTTGGGATAGAACGACGAAGTCCATCCGAACTATCCAATTAAGAATAAGAGGCGAACTATCCAATTAAGAGTAACAGGGGAGCTAAGCGTAAATTATCTCAAATAATCAAAATCAAATAAGGGCTAAACCAGTGTAATAAATAGAAATGTTTTAAAGATGGGTGACCATTGGGAAAATTTTCAAAGTTAAATAACCAAATATTAACAAGGGGTGAAGTTCAGTGACCACCGAAATAATTAACCTTCCAATCGATAGTCCTCTAATACTCCAACAAGTACACAGGTAGACTCCGTTTCAGATTTCATCCCCTAAACCCTCGCAAAAAACAATGGCAGGAAGAAAATTCACCGCCATTTCCTTGCTTATGCTGAATCTGCTCTCACTTTTGCCGCTCCTCACCATCTCCTTCTCCCATGATCAACCAACAGATCGTCGCATTTTAGTCCTTCTCGACGATCTAGCCCTCAAATCCTCGCATTCAATTTTCTTCACCTCATTACAGTCCCGTGGTTTCGACCTCGATTTTAAGCTAGCGGATGACCCTTCAATCGCTGTCAAGCGATATGGGCAGTACTTGTACGATGGGCTTATCCTCTTCTCGCCTTCCACTGACCGTAAGTCAATTGATTTCTTCTGTGTCAGTGTGCGTGGAATCTGGATCAAGTTGTGTTTTTTTTATAGGTTTTTGTTGTTTTGATTGTCAAAATATTTGTGTAGGGTTTGGAGGGTCGTTGGATTTGGAGGGGGTTTTGGATTTCGTTGACTCCGGGCATGACTTAATTTTGGCCGCGGATGTCAGTGCATCGGATTTGATCCGGAGTGTTGCTGCTGAATGTGGGGTAGATTTTGATGAGGTGAATTTAATTTATATTTCCTGTTTTGTTATGGTTTTTGAATGTGGAATTGCGGCAGGGAATTGGGTTGTTGGGATAGAAATTCTAAAAGATTAGTACAAGTTTAAACTTGTTAATTTCCAAATCCAATTGTAAGGCCATGCCAAAAAAATCGGTAGCTGTGATGCAGCTTGCATATCCCGAAAAATTCATGCTTCACAATTTTTGTTTCTTGTAGAAGATTTTTATAATTTTGGGCTCATAAATAAAAGATTATCTGCTCCGCTACCAGTTGACAATGATAACTTTTGTCATAATAAATGGTTAGGAGAACTTCACATTGAAAGATTTAGAAGTTTTTACAAATTTTCATTTTTATAATAAGCCAAAATAGTTAGCGCAAGCTATTCTTAAGTTAATTCAGTAATTCGTTTTAAGTTATCAGAGTCAAGTTATGGTTGTTAGTGTCTGGCTATCTTTAATGTCATCATTAAAGCATTAGCTCACTCCTCTATGAAATCTTTTATACCCTTCTTCTTTGGTTGTCGTATGATAAAGAATATAATTATTAATAACGTCACAATTGACTAAACATAGAATCTGTGAAGCTTATTCATAAATGGATGTATAGAAGAACTCTTTTTATATTATATTTATTCTCTGGTTCTTATGCTTTTTATCTTAGCATCCTCACGTTGTCTGTGACTGTTTTATTTAACAGGATCCCTCTGCTATGGTTATCGATCACATTGGATATGCTGTTTCACAAATTGAGGGAGACCACACACTAATAGCTGCTGATGATTTTGTTCAATCCGATATTATTTTGGGAAATGCAAAGATCGAGGTTATTTTTTAAGACAACATTTGATTTGTTCTATTGTTGCAGTACTATATGTTGGTTCATTAGTGCACATTGCCTGGTCTTATACTTGCTTTACATGCCTATTTGTATTTGTGCCCGTTACAATTCCAGATGTCTTTTTCTCAGAATGTAAAAATATTAACTGTAAAATGTTGTTTACATTGTTTGATAGTTGCATTAGTCTCAAGATTATTGAACTTTCCATGAAGAAAATATTTAACCAATGTCAAAAGTTGTGCCTTACACTTATTTAATTGCTTTCTATATATATGATACAGGCCCCTGTGCTTTTCAAAGGGACTGGGCATTCACTTAATCCAGACAATAGTTTGGTAATGTTGAAGATCGTGACTATTTTTTGCTTACTATCAACATTCATTCATGTTGTGATTAGACGTATATGTGGATTGACATATTTGGATGATGGTGGCTTTGCATTCATGACTTTTTCCTCTATGGGTTTCCATCCATTTTGTAGGTTCTGAAGGTTCTTTCAGCATCTTCTTCAGCATATTCAGCTAATCCAGCATCCAAGTTGTCAAACCCGCCGTCGCTTACTGGATCTGCTATCTCGTTAGTTTCAGTTGTGCAGGTTCATTATGTCCTGTTTGCTTTTAGTTGTTCCAACGTTGCCTTTCAGAAATGTCTGGTCATTGTTTGTGTCAGTGCATCATCCTTCCATGATGTGAAATCAGATGAGCCTTTGTTTCTTTTCTTATCAAAATGGCTAAGTTGCTTAAATGCACTTTTCTTAAGTTTAAGCAAGATTGAAATACTCTGGTTAGGCATATTTCAATATCACATTGGACCTACTCACCCACTTCAACTAATTTGTACGGACACATTTGCTTTTAACAATTCTATCTTCTGGATCTTTGTGGCAATTCCCTTTTTCATATTATGTTAGATTTGTGTGCTGATAAAGTCATATGTTGCTTATGTTATCCTATTGACTCACACACTGGATCGGGTGGTTGGGGTGGAGATGAGGCATGCTAGTCTCTGTTTTACTTTTGGATTTTGCTTCTATTTTCTCATTAATGGTATTATTCTAGTGACATCTACTCTATACATCACTTTCTAGCTTGATGTTGATACTCATAAATTACAGGCTAGAAACAATGCACGTATTATTATCTCTGGTTCTTTGGACTTGTTTGGCAACCGGTATGTAGTTTCTTTGCTATGATGGTTAGTTTTTAATGTGTATTTTTATTTCCTCTTGAAGGAAAATGAACTTAGCATTATCACTTCAAAAAATTTATGTTCTTACCATTAACATTGTGTTTCTTTGTGTGTAATAGATTGTTCAGATCAGGAGTGCAAAAGGCTGGGAGTTCATACAAGTTAGTGAAGCTTATCATTAATTTCTATATCAGTTCTTTTCTTCTCTGCACTAAGGCTATGTAAACTTGTTCTTCGATTCAAACTTACCTCATAAGATTTGGACTGAAATCAGCTGGTGAAATCTTGTTCCTTTAGACATGTTTTTTTAGGTCTTTTATTTTCTTAAGCTACTTTTTTGAGTGAAATCTAGTTAGATTCTATATTGTTTTCATGAGGTGGTGCAGACTATTATGCTATACCTTCCAGGAAAATGGGAGAATTATCATAAGATCAGAAGCTTACTGCATACTATCCTTGCCGATGTCTGCAATATAAAAATGAATTTCTATCAATCAATATTGACACAATAAAGGGACTAATTCTCATGCCACTGATTTTTGTAGTTAAATTTTACTAAATAAATTGTTTAAGAAACTGTGTAAATAAAATGCATGGTTCTTTGTTTGAAACACTATATCTTTATTGCGACTAGTGGATAATGTGTTTGAATTGCAACTAATGGAATTGTGAAATCATGCTGACAGATATGAGAAATCAGGCAATGAACAGTTTGTCACTGAACTTAGTAAATGGGTCTTCCACGAGAGGGGTCATCTGAAGGTAATCTATACGAGTCCCATACAGTATTATCATTGTTTATATCTTATTTGCATGCTAAGTTACGTTTCTATATCTACATATGTAGTTAATTAACTCGGGATTGATTCTCAGGCTGTCAATCTTAAGCACAACAAGGTTGGAGGAACAGATGAACCTTCAATGTATAGGATAAACGACGACCTGGTAATTCCACATATTTGATTATGACCTGCTTCGGAAATGAACATCATTGTGCCTGTCAGTCAGGAAAAAAGAATAAAATAAAATTTGCCTTTCGAACGTTGCACCCCCCATAGTCAAAAGAAAGAGCAAACAAAGATGAAAAAAGAACCTGCAAAAAATGAACTTCCATTTCCTTACAAGTTTGATATTCTTGTAGGAATTTTCTGTTGAAATCTATGAGTGGACTGGTGCTAGCTGGGTACCATATGTTGCAAATGACGTCCAAGTGCAGTTCTACATGATGAGCCCTTATGTCTTGAAAACCTTATCTACTGATCTGAAGGTTTCCTTTTTTGTTGACACATGCAAGAACTTATATTTTTATTTACATAGGTTCCTCGTTTCACTATTCATACATTCTTGTTCCAGGGACTCTATCACACTTCTTTTAAGATACCAGATGTTTATGGAGTTTTCCAGTTCAAAGTTGAGTATCAGAGGCTTGGATACACTAGTCTCTCACTTTCAAAGCAGGTAAGCCACCCAACCCACTTAGCCCCCGTTTGGCCCCCATTGAATTACATTTCATTTTTCTCTCTTATTTTCATCCATACAATCTTCCATAAAATAATATTACATGTAAATAGAAAAATTTTCCTTCTTTTTCAACCACTCATTTAAAAAAAATAAAAATAAAAAAAAAATAATAAAGGAAACTATTTCACCCATTTTCGTTTCAAAAAATGGGGACCAAACGGAGGCTTAATAAACAGTTCGAGAGAGAGAGAAGAAAAGAAAAATCGCACAATAGTTGTTTGAAAAGAAACAAATTACACATGCATGTACTCTTACATTTAAATGTGAATGGACATCTTTCTTTTGTTGGATGTTTTAAAATAATGGCAAAGAAGGGAACTGTGTATTTTGTACTCCCTTACAAAACCTCCATACCCTTTAAAAGTGAGTTTAAAGCCTATGTTCCTTGTATGTCTTATACGTGTAGCATCTGAAGATTTTGTGTCCTAAATCTTGTCAGTGCCTAGCCATTTAATTCAAAATGAACTGCAAGAAGAATCTGTAAATTGGTTCGAGACCCACCAACCTCCACGCCTCTACCAAAAAAAAAATAGTAAAATATGAAGAGGAGCATTAAAAGGAAGAAAGTACGAGTAAATAGCTTGAAAACTCTGGTTCTTAGATACAAGGTTTACGAGCAAACCAACATCCTGACAAAGCAAGCTAGGAGTAACTTGTTTTACTTTCTGAAATTTTGACTTTTTTTTTTCTTTTTTTTTTCTTTTTTTTTTTTTGCAGATTCCAGTGCGACCCTTCCGACACAATGAATATGAAAGATTTATAACAACAGCTTTTCCCTATTATGGAGCTTCATTTTCTATGGTAATATATCTCACTGAGTTTGAGCGTGTATTATATTTCCAAATTATACATCCAAAATCCTGCTTGCTTGTTAAAATATTTTTTTATTTTAATAATTCCACTCAACAACAACGTTTGACAAATTGCAGATGGCGGGATTTTTCATTTTCAGCATTGTGTACCTTTACAACAAGTAGGAACCTCGAATATTGCTTCGACTATGAGATAATTGTTGGACTCTATTTCCTGAAGTCTTGTTCCATTTCTGGGAAGATGATGAAGGATTTTTAACATTTACTTCTAGCAAAAGGTGTAAGCTACTTAGATATTTCAGAGCATAATTTTGATTGTACTAATCCTCCAACATCTGCTAGATATTCACTGATACTGTTGTAATGGCAGTTTCTTAGCTGAGTTAATGTATTTTACCGTTTTGGCACTTGTGTATATAATATGGTAAAGTTGTAGACTTTTAGACGCGGAAATACTGATTTAAGAATAGTTTTAATTCCCTTGTCAATTGTGGGTTTTCAGTTAATCATATAACATGGCTCGCACTTAGTGTGATCAACACCAAACACTGCTTTGTATTTAGATTTATGCTGTGCGTACACTTTGAGGAGGGCTCACAAATAATTTAGTAGGCGTGGGCATTCCTCCATGTGAGGGGGGTGTAAAGGATTGTGTACAGTGGAGATGTATGCATAGCGTAATCCTTGTATCTATTAGGTCTATTCATAATATTTATTCAAAATTGTGAGCTGACAAATTGTCTTCTGAATACCTTACAGAAATAAAAGAAATAAAATATGACGTCAAAGATATATTTCAACACTTTTTAACTCCAAAGAAGCTGCCAAATAACATTCAATGTTTAGTATAGCAATGTGCGGCGTCTAAAGAAGGGTTTATGAGACAAGTAACGTGTAAAGTGCGATCGATAATGACTACAAATAAAAGTGATAGGATTCAATTATTCTAATTTGTGAATTTAATTATGTTACTTATTATTTGAGTTTTGCAAATTGCTATTTGCTCAAGTCATTGTGTTGGGAAAAAAAATTATGAAAAGAACAAATTCAATTACTCAGGTTCTGGATTTCGATTCGTACTTTTTTCCAAAATGGGAATGAAATATCATATTCCGATTAAAATGTCCATCCCTAATTGAGAGAGTGATAAATGAAGCTTAGATTGCACCAAATACATTGATGAGTTTGCTTTTCGTAGACCGGCCTTCCTTCACGCTCAACCCATCATGATAAATTATACTTTATTTTCATGAATAACATGTTTCTTTAATTCAAAGAAATTACGCGCTTCTTTCGTGTAGTTAAATCTTTCATAATCCGCAAACTACTTTTTTTTTTCTTATTTAAAGATAGACTTATTTTTTTTTACAAAAAACAAAATTTAAATAATGGTAAGCAGTTGTTACATTTAAATAATTAAAAAATCGATTTTGTATGATGAATATCTGAATTTAATATTTTATTGAGAGGGAGATTTTTTTATTTAAAAAATAAATAATGGTGAGCATTTGTTGCATCTAATATCTGAATTTAATAGTATAAAAAATGAAGTGTTGAATTACACTGAAATGATATATACTAGTTTGACAATTCTTATTTTAATTTACAGTTTTTTCATATGTACAAAATGTGAACATACACAAATGGGTGGGCTCTATGTAAGTAAAATATTAAAAAATTAAAATAAAATCCACCCATCCGTTATTATGTGTGTTCTAGAGGGTTTCACAGTGTACACAAACTCATTGATTTAAAATATTAGTTTGACAATTCTTATTTTAATTGATGATGAAGATTGTTTGAGCCTCATTTTTATCAAAATACATTTTTCTTTCTTCTTTTCAACCACGTATTTTTTAATAAATTAACATTATAAATAAATTGAATTTTTATTTTTATTTTTCAACCACATATTTTTCAAAAAATACTATTCAAAAATACATTTTTAACAAAAAAAAGAGGGCTCCACGCATTTTTATTTTTTAATTTTTGTATTAAAAATTGATGTGCAGCATGAATTAATTAGATTTAAGTTGTTTGAAAATGAAGATCCCATCGAAGGTCCCTCTCTCTCTCTCTCTCTCTCTCTCTCTCTCTCTCCGTGTATTTTTGTCTATTCTAGTATGAGAAAGACTCAACTATAGTATATATATACTTTATACGTCTCTCTTACCAATAATATTCTTTAGCGTAAATTGGTACTGTGACCCTCTCCGCATGGTGTTATCAATAGATCTCATGATCTTTTTTAGTTATTCCATCACTTTCTACTTTGAATTCTTGAGAGTAATCATATTAAATATCTTATCATATCCTTCACCCTCTTTCTTATATGTATAAAAAACTTCTCTCTCAGTTGGGGGCTCTTGAGCACTGGTCAGATTGGAACACAATTTGCTGTTTAACCTGTCTGCAGCTTAAGGGGTCAAGGTGTAGGCTCCAAGATTTAGTCACTGTAAGGTGGATATCTGGTATAAAAAAAAAAAAAAAAAAAACTTCTCTCTTACTCAATAAAGTCATGGATTGAATTTAATATAGTTATTAGATTCGATTTGTAACTTTAAGGGAAAGGCTAACTACAACTCAGTTTAAAATTTAGAATAATTTAAAACTCAGAAGTAAACTCTATGCGAGAATTAGAATAGTTGAGCAGGTTGAAAGGTTCGTACTGACGTCGAAATTTTATAGATAATTTTAAGTTCTATTGATATCACATACTGATTCAATTATACACAATGCTGTTATGAATTTTGTCATTACGATGTTATATATTTTTAGTCAAAGTTACTCATTTGACTGTTACTATTAAAAGCCTGTTTGCACTTCATTTTTTGTTCAGAATGCATATTGGAATGATATTTTGATGAAGGATGTGTGGTTTAAAATAAGAAAGAATTTTAGGTTTGCATATAATATTATTTTATTGAGAAATGTGTGGTTAAAAATAAAATTGAAAAAAATATATTTTAAAAATAATGATGACCAAACAATAACTATTTTAAAATATGAGCTTATCATGGGAATTGCCACCATCTTACTGTACTTGTATTACTTGCAAATATTTATTCAATTTAAAAAATAATAATAATAAAGAATTTATTATAATCATTTTTCGTCAAATCACTTGCTCTTCACACTAAGAATGGTTCAATGCATCATTAAGGGTATGTTTGGGAGCGATTTTTTCCTCCCAAAAAATTGACTCTTTGACCGTTATTTCACTATTTCAGCCGTCATATTTGACTCCTTCTCTCATAGGTGGACCCTACTTTTCTCTTAAAAGTCAAAAAATCAATTCTCAAAATCACTCCCAAACAGGCTCTAAAAGACTGCGGGCAATGTCAAATCGTTATCTAAGAATGGTTCAATGCATCATTAATCACATATTGAAGCGACATTTCAAGTTTGAACAGAGTTTTTCTTTTCTATTCCATGGTATAACTTTTAACCTATGCCTTGTTTGAGCCTTTTTTTTTACCTTAAAATACGTTCTTCGACAGTGATTTGATCCCACTTCAATTACAAATACTTCATTAAAATAATATTATACGTAAATTCATTACTTTTCTTTATTTTTTAAACACGCATCTCAATCAATACGCTATTCAAAATTCATTTTTTGACAAGAATGAGGCTCAAACAAGGACTATGTTTGGTGCTGATTTGATTCAAGGTCGAGCCTGAAAATTTTGAGGCTTAGGGTGACAAAATACTATGAGACCACCATATATATTATTATTATTATTATTATTATTATTATTATTATTATTATTTTACAAGCATAACAATCTCTTTAAAATCAATTATAATCAAACTTTGCAAAAGACATGACAACAAATTCTACTCATTGCAAAATATTTTGAAAAATGCTACTCAATCAGGTGTAAAACCAGACTCAAAAACAGGAAGTCGAGGTGGCAACACCTCGGCTCTTAGATCTGAAAAAAAAGTAGGTGAAATCGGGGACTGAGGCGATGTCACCTTAGCCCCTGTTTTTGAGCTTGTTACTGAGCCTGACTCAGTAGCAGGGCTGAACATGACAAGTGTCTTTTTCTTGTATTGAACGCAAGACAAGACTTTTCATTTGGTTTAGTTCATTTCTTTATTTTTAAAAAGGAGTTTAATGAATAAAGTGATGTGACAAAATTCCATAATTATATTTATTTATTTTTTGGTGCAAAAAAAATCATTTTGGGCTTTTAGTTTTTTTTTTTTACGCCCATTACAAATTGAGGCCCAAGGCCATTGCCTAGGTAGCCTTAGGCCATATCTGGCTCTGCTTTTATGTCAAGAAGCGATTTTCTCTATCAACGATATGTGGTCGAAAGAAAAAAATAGTTTCATCAAATTGTGATTTTTTTTGCTATAAAATTGAATTTGCACCTGATTGAATTTTATAATTGTAAAAAAGAAAAAAAGAAACAATCACTAACATATCTATGTGTCTAGTCTTGTGACTTCGATAACATTAGAACAATTTCCCTTGATAGGCACCTTATAGGTGCTACCAACACAGCACCTGTATGGTGCTTTTTTCTTTTTCTTTTCTTTTTTTGTATTTTTGATTATGGATGAATAAAAAACTAGCAAGTGAAAGTATGTAAAAGTTCTGTGAAGCATTTTCTGTGCACCAAGCAGAACTCATAATATTACTGTACTGATATACAATTACAAATCTAATATTTGCATTAATATCGGAGAAATTACACTATTAGTCTCGATCTCTTACCTAAATAGCAATCTGATCCACGATCTCTTGAAATATATAAGATGGTCATCAATCTTTCTTAATAGCTAAAAAATCAATCTACCATAACACAAACGTCTAAATCTCTATTAAATCGTCAAAGTGACCCTCATAAGTCCAACTTTATAAAACTAAATTTTATTAACTAATCGGGATGTCTAAAATTCGAAATGATGTACATTTTCACAAGAAAAGTGATAATTTAAGAATGATCAAAACTTTAATGGAGTAGCCAATACAAATTGGGTTCTATGAGAAGTAATTGAGCACTGAGAAACATGTGCTAAAAATTAAAGTTGGACAGTGACAATTAATCCTTGTTTGTCCCCAAATTTTTAAAACGCTCCATCCCCTCAGAGGTAAAGAATCCATCAATGTCTCAATTGTGCCATAGAAGCTATGGGTTCATTTTTAATCATAAGTTTTATGGGATTCACCGTTTTTATTAATTTTTATCAAAACTTACTAAAAAATTGATTTCTAAACAAACGAAACATGGACTTAATTTTTAAGGGGTTATAATGAAACACAAACAAGGTCTTTAATATCATAATTATAATAATATATTTAAGAGTGCAATTTTTCCTTTAAACGAACGCATGACCTACCATAAGTTTGAACACATTAATTATTAAGCATAAACAAATTTTGATTCCTCTTACAGGCAGATTTATTGACTCTCTCACTCTGAAATCCTCTCAATTCACTTTATAAAGCCTTCAGATATTCACATCACACTTACGGAGTGAAGCAAAATTTGTATGTAATAATTTTTGGTAGCAAGAATGAGTCTTGTGAATCCAATTACAACATGGTCTCAAACAAATTCCATGAACAAATCCACACAAGATTTTTCTTTTCTTCCCCATCCTCTGGAGAACAAACTGACCATTTCTTCGTTTTCTTCAAATCCCACAAAAAAATTTACTGTTTTTTCTTCGATTTCCATATCAGCAATTCTAACCAAAGAACAAGAAGAAGGTAGCAAAAGCATAAGCCAAGAAGAACCCACTTTCAATTTCAAGGTCTATATGTTTGAGAAGGCAAGTTCTGTAAACAGGGCTCTGGAAAATGCTGTCTCAATGAAGGAGCCTTTTGTGATTCATGAGTCAATGAGATACTCACTTCTTGCTGGAGGAAAAAGGGTTCGGCCCATGCTGTGTATTGCGGCGTGTGAACTTGTGGGTGGGGAAGAATCCACTGCTATGCCCTCAGCCTGTGCTGTTGAAATGATCCACACCATGTCTTTGATTCACGATGATCTTCCATGTATGGATAATGATGATCTACGGAGGGGGAAGCCCACAAATCACAAGGTGTTTGGTGAAAATGTGGCTGTTTTAGCTGGTGATGCACTTCTTTCCCTTGCCTTTGAGCACATGGCTACAGCCATAAAAAGGTTATCATCAGATAGGATTGTTAAAATGGTAGGTGAATTGGCTAAGTGTGTTGGATCAGAAGGACTAGTGGCTGGACAGGTAGTTGATATATTCTCAGAGGGATTAGCAGATGTGGGATTAGAGCATTTGGAGTACATTCATATACACAAAACTGCAGTTTTATTGGAGGCATCAGTGGTTCTTGGTGCTATTTCGGGTGGTGCAAATGATGAAGAAATTGCTAAATTGAGAACGTTTGCTAGGTGTATTGGGCTCTTGTTTCAGGTGGTGGATGACATTCTCGATGTCACTAAATCTTCTCGAGAATTGGGGAAGACGGCCGGGAAAGATTTGGTGACTGATAAAATGACGTACCCAAAGCTGCTTGGCATTGAGAAATCGAGAGAGTTCGCTGAGAAATTGAATAGGGAGGCTCGAGAACAGCTTTCTGGATTTGATCCTGAAAAGGCTGCACCTTTGATTGCCTTGACTAATTACATTGCGTATAGGAATAATTGATCTGTTATTAATGTATTTCGCTGTTGCTTCCAAAGAAAAGAAAAATAGTAATACTTATATGTTCCGTGTTAATTTTCATTAATATGTAGCAAAATTGAGAAATATTACAGATCATCAATGGTGTTATTGAATGCAAATCTGAATATTACTTCTTGTCTTGTGCTTCAGCTTTTCTTCCCTGGCACATTAATGATGGTTTCAATGGCTTGGAGTATTCCTTTTAATAAGGTTTTTATCTTTTGAGATAGAATCCAAAATCTGAATATAATATCAAGAGTTTTTTAAACTACTCAATTTAATAAGGTTCATATTTTAATATGGAACCACAAATGTTAATATGATATCAGAGTTCATTAAACTCTAAAGAGCAACGTGATCCGATTAAAACTCAAAAAATTGAGCAAATGAATTTCAAGATTAATTTGCACAAAGTGAAATAGGGTCGCGCATGGAGTAACATTGTTTTTCAATTACGTGCCTATTCTTGATATATACATTTATCAAATAAAGTTGATCAAAGTTGGTGGAGCTCATGAAATGTATATTTAAAAATAACATTTGACCAAGTTGATCGATTTTTTTAGCAAAAAGTAGTTCAAACTTCAACTCAACGGACATGGCGCGAAATAAAGAATTCAAGCAAAAACATTAAAAATATGAAATTTTGAAAAGAATAAATTCGCAAATTTTATTGATGAAAGATGAAAAACGAATCCAATTTGAATTTGATAACTACATTGTTTGTGAAGTATGTGTTCATGTATGTTGTATAAATTTACCCGTTGTTGATTGAAAATTGAACACAGATATTCGGAAAAAAAAAAAAAAACCGCCAAATAACTCTTTATTTATAGAGGTTTACATGTCAAACTAGTTCAAGATGACTAAAATTAATGAAAATTTAGTTTAAACAAACTAAAATTTAAAAGAATTTAAAATAAACTAAGAGAAGTGATCTAATAAACACAGATGTTCATCTTATACTAAACACCGGTGATGTGTTATATTAATTTATTGATGGATAATATAAGCATCGATGCTCATTTAATCATTTCTCAATAAACTAAATAACAAAAATAGCACTGAAACTTTAAAAATAGTTTCCGAGTTATAAATGAACTCGGATGGCGAAAATCCATCGCATGTCACAACAAAGCAGTAAGTTCTATTCGTCTCAAAGTTCTCTTTTCGGAATGGTATTATGGGCCCAAATCGAAGTTCGAATGCTATCGTTGCACTATTTCCTTTTTTCCATTTTGATCCAATTATTTTTCAATCCATTCAACTATCTGTTCTACATCATCGACCCAACAAGCTCTTCAAATGTCTTCGTGCCACGTGAGTTGAATAGTTTAGCCAAGTTTTCCCAGTCCATTTTCTCAAAGTCAAAAATTCCGTCAGGCTCTTCAAATGTCTTCGTACCTCACGAGCTGAATGGTCTTGCTAAGAATTGTCTAGTACATTAATGCCGGGGGCATTTCGTGTTGTCACTCTTGAGTATGAAAATTGGCTTTCTTGGATGATTCACGTGTGGGACATTTCGTGTTATGTCACCACCCTGAGCTTGAAAATTCTCTTTCTTGGATGATTCACTTCTGCGTTTTTACTTTCTCAGCTTGTCTATGCTTTGTATTATGATGAATACGAGACGTTAATATGCCAAGAAATGACACAAGAATTTCTAAATTACTTGTATGCAGAGCGGGACTGGATTACCCAAATTGTATGAAGTAAATCTTCACACAGACAGTTAGACGATACAGTACAAGAATGGATTCTTTAACTACTTCAAATCCTTGGTGTAAGAATACTATGCCATGTTAGTGGCGAAAACAAGGAAACAGTAATAAAAGGCAATCCAGAAGGGGGGGGGGGAATGAAATTTATAGTTCCACTAAGTCCCAATATATTGTTTCATTCTTTGAAGGGAAAGTTCAAATCTTTCTTATTCTCAAATTCAGAAAGTAGATGATCATTTTTTCCTAGTTAATTGAAAATCATTTGAAGGGACTTTGTACTCTAGCTTCTTAGTTGAAAACAGTGGGACGAGAAAACACCATTCAATCACAGGATCAGAAATATCATGGTTCTAGCACTTTGAGTAAATGTTGTTAAAAGAAAACTCAAACGATCGATCTACTGAAAAAATAAAAAATTATGGCAAGAAATTTTTACATACCTTATATTATGATAAGACTATCTGGACAGAAAAGTCTTGTTTATGTGTATATCTATCTATTGAAGTTCACTCCATGTGAATTAAAATATTGTAAAAAATAACTTACCCGTCTCTTCATGTGTGTATTCTGTACCGTTTTTGTACATAATTTTTTTGTACGTGTAGCTTTGCACATTTTTCAATTCTCTTTATCTGTCTATCCCCAAGGCCTCTGTCGTGTTCCATTCTGGACTACAATTTGTAGCGGGTAATTGGCCTGTCACTTGGACACTCCATACTTCGCTATTTCCTCTTTTCTTCTCCAATAATTCTAATGACTGAATTTTATACACATATATTTCACATTTTTTCATTGACTGCTAAAAATTTAAAGAAAACATTGCCAATCAAAAGCTGCCACTTCATTCCCTGAAAATGACCAATGACCCTGTTTGTTCAACGTTTTCCCTTCTCCGAATATGGTTAAACTAAATGGCCGTTTGACAAAATTTTATTAAACTCTAATAAAAAGTATTAAAATATATAGTTAAAAATTGATTAAAAAATATTGAATCTTACAAAATATGTGAATATATTGAAGTGTGATAATTTAAATGTTAACGTGAAAGAAGCAACAAGTCCTTGTTTCATTTTTTAACACAATAAATTGAGAAAAATATAGCTGGAAAGCAATAATTAATTTTAACTGCACATGTTATGACAACAACTTTATCAATTCTTAACTACATATTTTATCAATTTTCTCAAAATTTACTAAAAATATAATTTTTAACAAATCTAACGGCAAAAAATCTCTTTTTTAAATATGTTTTAGCCCACATTTGGTATGGATTAAAATCAGTTTTTAGTAAGTTTTGATAAAAATTAAAAATATTTAGTTAAAAAGTTATGAATGTCAAAGCCTTTATTTGACAATCATTATTTGAAAAAAATAATGTTTTGAATAAGTAGAAAATTTTTTGGATTTATGTTCAAAATATTTCATTGTAAGTAATGTTGATTACGCTAGATTGAATATTATCTGGACCAAACGTGCTATTTAATGGAAAATTTATGATAAGAATGTGATGATAAAAAAATAAATAAATAAATAAAAATAAAAAATTGTTGAGAATACGAGTTGGACATGGTGCAAGGATTGGAAATCTTCAGTAAACTCTATTCATAAAATGCTGGAACAAAATAGGGGGTCCACGAGACACCATACTATAGTTTTATAGTTCATTTTTCTTTCACATGGACTCATTGTAATCCACGCTTTACAATGTTGATTGTGATCGGTGACATTACTTAATAAAGTTGTCATTTTTAAATTCCAAAAAAATAAAATGATATGACAATATAATCATCGAAAAATGGAGACTGCTTTTTAACAACATATTTACAAAATGGATTTTGTTAGAAAAACAGAGGTTGACAGCACTCATAGGTTGCGGGCGAGCGGGCGGACGGAGAGGGGGGGTCATGGCCCTGACCGAACCCCACTCATAGGGGGGTACTTTTAAGTTTGGCTTTGTCAAATCAACCATTTTCCATTTTAACCATAAAAATCAAACATTCACCACAATAGCTATTTCTTGTGTAAAAGACAAAAACGCCCTTAAATGAGTTATATAATTACAAAAATAGAAATATGGTAAAAAGACAAAAATATCCTTAAGTTACAAATAAAAATCCAAACACTTCTCAATTGAAATTTGAAAACGAAGTCAGTCTTTTCATCAGTTTACTCTAACACGATAAAAACTCTTTCATTTTTCATCCACTTCAACCTCAAAATTTCATAAACTTATCAGTTATCAACCTCAATAGAAAAATTTAGTTAAATTTCAGAACTTTAATTCGGTAAGTATTTTTTCGTAGTATTTAATTTTATTTTTATTGAAGTCGTATATTTTTTTTAAATGGTAGAAAAAATAATATTAGAGCCAAAGTTCAGGCCGGCACCAATCAAACGTCGGAACGCCAAATTTAACGACGGTCCGGACCGTCCCGATCGTCCTTTTGCAGACTCCCCCGCCCCTCGATTCTGATAATTTTATTTCTGATAATTTGTTCTGATATTTTTAATTCGTAATGCAGATATGGCAAAAGTATGTGTCCTAATCTGTTATTTCGACGAATTTCAAAGGAAAGAAAATGGTCAGTGGGAATGGAAATGGACGAGTGAAGGAGAAGGGGTTGCTGCTATTTCGATAACAAAAAATATTTTGTTTACAGAAATGTACAGTGAAATACAAAACATGTTTAACGTTGATTCCTCTCAATACGATATGGAATTGTGATTTTTATTTCAAAAGCATTCAACAATTTCGATTCCACCTTTGAAAGTTACTTCTGAAGTGCAAATAAAGCATCTAATTCAATTGAACCAAGGTCGAAAGACGACTCCTATTTGCGTAAGTTTGTTGAAGAAAAATGTCATCGAGGGTGAACACGAAGTTTTTGATGGAGAGGATCGTAATGAGAATGATTTTTGGGATATTGTTGAGATTGCTCGGGAGGATGATGTGGTTATTCCTGGGGCAGTTGCTACTCACCATGATGTCACCGTTACACGAAGGATTTACGAGGAAGTTCAAGACAACGAGGATGAAAGGCCATTTACAAATCAGGATTTGATTGCTTTATCCAGACAAAGACATGAGTCTGGTGGGAGCTCACATGCTGGGTCGAGTACACGGTCTTCTAATTGTTCGCGTGTAGTTCCTGATGATGAAGATTTACATGTCGATCAATTGTTTGACATGAAAAGAGATTTTCAAGAAGCCGCGCACCGAATTGCAATGAAACATAATTTTGAGTTTAAGGTAAAAAAATCAAACAAGTTTACATACACAATTATTTGTGTGGACA